ATTTAAAATCAAAAAATAATTATTTTATTTTATTTTTAAATAAATAATTAATTAATTAATATATGATATTTATAATTAAAATAAATTAAACTACCTTTTTAATTTTCAATATTTTTAAATCGTAATCCATGAATCTTATTTCTTTGAAAAAAAATTGATCCCTGACATCAATTTCTTATTCCACTCATGGATATCGTGTCTTGAAGTCTGGAGGCCGCAAGGATACATTTGAGCTCTAGAGTCTTAACCCTCGGCAGGAACCGCCTGCAGCGTCTGATGCTGGTAATAATTGTACCTTTTCTTCCACTCAGACTTTATATCTCTCTCTACACCGACATGTGCTGTCAATTTCTATTTTATAATTTATGTAATATTATTTCACATCTAACCATAAAATGAAAAATTATAAATGAGTATTTCTCGTGATAGTATCTTCTTCTTCTTCTTCTTCTTCTTTTTTTTTTTTTTTAACATATTTTGCAAGGGCAGGTTTTGAATTCTGCCGGAGGAGGGGGAATGCACCGTAGTTATGCCACTGGGCCTCAAGGGCCAGTGCTCTCATGATAGTATCTTACAAGGAATGCATACTAAAGTTTCAAGGTATAGATATGTATTTTTTTAATTTTACATTGTATATTGATGAGTTTGATTTTGATATGCATTTATCTACTCTTTTTAAGTTTAGAATTTAATTTTATGGATCATTTGTAACTTAGTTTTACCTTAATTTACATCAATTTTATTATTTATAGGTGAAAAGTAAAATATAAATTAATTTTTCAATTAGTGAAAATTTGCACATGATGTAGTAATTTAATCATATCTTTTTCTCCAGGCATTGGATTGAGATGATTCTTAAGGCATTGGAAAGCTAAGAAGCAGAGCTATAATTCATATTTTATGAGCTCAACCTAGTTCAATCAGTATCAATACAGAATTCCAGTTGAAATTTTAGTTTCACCTTAATTTACATCAATTTCATTATTTGGAGGTAAAAAGTAAAATAAAAATTAATTTTTCAATAAGTAACAATTTGTACATGTTATAGTAATTTAACCATATTTTTTTCTCCAAGCATCGGATTGAGATGATTCTTAAGACGTTGGAAAGTTAAGAAGCATAGCTATAATTCATCTTCTATGAGCTCAACCTAGTTCAATCAGTATCAATACAGAATTCCAGTTGAGATCCACGTTTTTGGCAGAAGAAGGCTGGACGGACTGTGAAGAAAAAAAATAAAACAGAAACTAGGCTGTTTTTGTGGTTGTGGGCTGGCCCAAAATAAAGCCCATGTTCTACTAGGGCTAGAAAGCAAGGTTTTTAAAACCGAATTGGTTATCGAATCGGTTTTAGGTTTGATTTTTGGTTTAACCCGTTTAATCGGTTGAATCGATGAATCGGTCGATCCAAACAACAAGGAAGAATCTGATAAGGGGCAGGAAATTTTGTAATTTTATTAAAATTAAGGGTTAAAATCGGTATAAAAAAGGAATGATGAGGGTGAAATTAGAAAAAATAGAAAGAAAATTGCATGAGAAATTAAACCGGTGATTTTTTTGGTTTTGACTAATTTTTGATCGGTTTTGACTTTAAACGGTTTTTTTATATAAACCGAATCATTTTTATTATTGATACCAATCCGACAGGTTCAACCGACCGGTCTGGTCCGGATTTAAAAACCTTGCTAGAAAGAATAAAGAAAACCTTAAGAGGATTATATATGTACATCTCGGGCACAAAGGGAAGGGCAGAACGGACCCGCCCAAATCGGTTCGCAGACGAGAACCAAAGGGACGCCGCCGCCCAGATCTGCAGAAGGACGCGCACAGCTTCTGTTTTCCCTCTTTCCTCCAGTGTTGCTTCTCAAAAAATTCTGTAGAGGAGGACGACCCAAACCCAGACGCAGACGCAGTAGCTTCTGTTTTGTTTCTCTTCCCCGACAGCCTTGCTTAGGAAATCACCACAGCAGCACACCATTGTGGACGCAGTGCAATTCGGCTTGCTCTTCATTTGGACTGGTTCTATTTATTTTTTAAATTCGATTTTTATCATGATTTTCTGCTGGGTTTTCTGAATTATGGCTGTCCAGAACTCCATTATGTGTAGCTAGATTTCTTTGAACTAAGGATGAATGGATTTTAATTTTCGGATTATGTGACTGTTTTTTCTAGTTTGATTCAAGATTTATTGGTTATTTGCATTATGAGTTTATGTTATTGAATTTAATGCATTCAGAATTTGATCACATTTCAATTGATTTAATGATTTACGTATGAAGTTAAGAAAAAAATGTGTAAATTAAATTAATAATAATATAAATTTAGACTATGAGGAGAGTTAGTAGCTAGTTAGAGGTTTTCATAAAATTTAATATTTATTAGTTTGTTTAAAAGATTAATTTGGCAAATAAATAAAGGATTAGTTTTACTAATTCATTTAGAGAAATCCGTCATCTCATGCGATAACACTATTATTTGAATTTGAATTTGAATTAAATTAATTAAACAGTTGCATAATTCAGAATTAAATAAAATCTAAACTTAGTTCCTTCCCATTCATAATTTCCAAGTAGTTTTCTTTAAAATAATTTAGTTTTATTCCATTAATTGGTTAATTCAACTTAGATTAGATTAATATTGTTTTGGTAGTGTAGAATAGTCCTCAAAAGCATGTTACTGCATAATCGATTAGATTAACTTGTTTAAAAGTAGTGCTTATTTGTTGCATCATATATAAAATTTGTATTTGATTGATTGATTTATAAATAGACAGATATATATAAATAGATATATAAATATAGATTTATTCTCTTAATATTTAAAAATACTAAAAATGAAATCTAGGTTGCTTTTGAAAATAAAAATGAAACTCTTTTTTGGCACTCTTCATAAGATTGTGAGTTGTTTCTAATTATATATATTATTGTTGACTTGCTTTGTTTAATAATAATTTCTTTTCAAGAAGAATGCCAAACATCGTTAAAAATAAAATAGTTTACACAAAAAGATCACATCACAAGTTCAATCAGATGAGCATGAACATGGGACTCTTAGAAGTGGGTGTGCATATACTTTAAACAGTGAGTATGAGTCTCTCGTACATTCTCAATTCATTTATAAAAGCATTTATCTCTAATTGAATTTTCATAGTTGCAAATGAAATCAGTGTACTTATTTAGGAAATTTATGGTAAATAAAAACATGCTCTTTGATGTGAATACAATTATATTTAATCCAACTAACTAATATAGTATAAACAAATTATAGGTATTGATACAGATGTAAACCTAGCTTCTTTTTCCACTGCAAACTCGCAGTATAGCTCTTCAATAGGTATGGATCATTTTGTTCCACATTGCTAAATATCCATTTGAAACTATTGTCTAAAAAATTATAATAAGAATACATTATATTTTGCAGTGTCAACTTCATCGTACAACAATTTGGGCCCTCCTCAATATGAATGCAAAGACTGTAAGGCCGTATTATGGGGTGGGGTGCAGAAAGAGCTGACAAAACCAAGCAAACTAAAAATCCTTCATTTTCACTTTGTTGCCAAAAAGGAAAACTCAAGCTGACACCATTTAGAAAACCACCAATCTTGCTAAGGAGATTATTGTTATAATTCAAAATTTTGATAAAATTTTATTTTATGTTAGTCTTATTTTATGTTTAACTAACATATTTTGCCTTTGCTTTTCTTGTTACGTTCGTGAGCAAAAAGAGAGATTTTGTGAAGAGGATTGAAAAAGAAATTGAAAGAAAAGGAACTCAATTGAAAAAAAAAAAAAAAAAAAAAAGGTGGGACGTATTAAAGTTAAACCCAAAACCCACCAAAACCCAAAGAAAAAACGAAAAAGAAAAAAAACCCAAAAACCAATCCCTAAAACTTAAACTCCCCGTTCTGTTAAATAGAAGAGGGGATAAAAGTCAATCCTTCTTCCTCACCCACACACACACCCTCACCCTTGGCTTTCCCTCTCCTATCTCCCGAATCTTCCTCCAGCAGCCAACAACCATCTTCTTTCCTTCTCTTCCTCTCCCAAGTGACCTTCGGCTTCTCTCTTCCTTCGGTTTCCTCTTTCTTTCTTCATGCAGATCCTTGAGCTCGCCCTCCTTCCTTTTCCCGTTGCAGAGCAACCGGCAGCCATCTAAAAAGGCTGCCGAAGATTACCTTCGTTCTTCTCCTTCTTCAATTCAATATCTTTTGATCTCATTATTTCTAACTCCCTTCCATGTTAAATCCACCTTCCGAACTATTTCTGCAGTCCAGCATCATGCATACCGACGAGTGGGCAGCAGAACAGAAGAAAGGGAAGCTTGATCTATCAATCGAAGATAGCGTTGATGTGCACGCGAAGCTCCAGCGACTCGGCAAAGTTTCAATCTCCCTTCGAATGGAATAGATCTGCTGTACTACTACAGAACACGAATGGGGTGATCAGAGGCTGACGTCGACGCAAATTGAAGGCCCAAATGCGTTTTGCAGATGTTTGTAAAAGGGTAAAGATCGGAGAGGCCTAAATGCATTGCAGATTCTGGTAAAGGAGAAGCAGATTTGAAAAGCCCAAAAACCGTGGATTCAAAAGGCCTGGAGAGTTAATTTCTGGAATGTCCTTTTAGGGTTTTCTTTGCTTTTGAGCGGTATAAATAGAACTTTAGATGAGGGTTTTGTTGGGTTTCTTTTGGTTTGGATGTGGTGTTGACGGCGGAGAAAAGGAGGGATTTTTCTACTAGAAGGAGATCGTTTTGTGAAAGGAGATTGTGGATTTCATCTCATTGCTAGGTATAGCTCTCAACAGAGGATTCTTTTTTAGGAAAATGGTGAAAGAGATGGTGGAAGCTTGATCCCGTGGGTGGGATTCCTTCCATCAAATCCAGATCTCTTTTTCTTTTAAAGATCCGCCGTGCTTGTTTTTATTTTTCTGTGGGTGTTTGCTTTTCTTTTTTAAGATCTAATGTTAAGCTTGTATATTTGTCATTGGAAAATTGAATGGAAAAAATCAAAAAAAAAAAAAAATTTGTCCAGTTCATTTTGCCTGATGAATGTGCTTTTTTTTCTTTTGATGAATGTGATTTTTTTATGATG